AGGTGAACTATACATCCCAGTAACTACAACTCACATATGTCAAGGTCTATTTTCCCCCAAGAGTGCCTCAAGTGCGCCCCTGGGCAAAATCAACTATACTGCAAATGCTTACTTGGCGTAATGGGTTGAGCCGCCCCTGATGCTGGTATTGTACCAGCTCTGGAAAATATTCCCTGGTAGCCATTGTCTGCACAAAGAAAAATAAAAGAGAGTTGGATCTCTACTCAGGTATGTTTTTCATCGGATTGATCATTAGGAAGCACTTCCTGACTCTAAGAGCTGTTCAACAGTGGAACTCTCTGCTTCAGAGTGTTGTGGAGTCTGCTTCTCTGGAGGCTTTTAAACAAAGACTGGATGGACATCTGTCAGGGGTGCTTTGATTGTGCTTTTCCTGCATGGTGGGGGGTTGGACTAAATGGCCCATGCAGTCTCTTTCAACTTTATGATTCTATTATTCTAAACGCATCACGCAAAATAATCATACATGAATTTTGACATCACATGAAACAAAGTTTGCGTATACTGAACCATCAAGAAGCAAAGGTGAAACGATCTCAGCCAGCCATGAGGACAATTTTGCAGGATTTGGGATTTTCCAATTCTGGATCAGGGATGATCAACATGTGTAAGTTGGGGCTATGAGTTCTGCACTCCTTGAAGTGCAGCAAGAGGTCATTTGGCCACTTATTCTGAAAATTATACAGAAATACCTACATTTGCATAGATACCTGTGCATACACATGTATGTTTTTATTGGATTTTACTGCTTTGTGTGATGTTTTTTATTCTAATTATTTGACCCAGGAGCAGGAGGAGGAGCAGGAGGAGGAGGAGGAGGAGGAGGTGGAGGAGGTGGAGGAGGTGGTGGTGGAGGAGGAGGAGGAGGAGGTAGAGGTGGTGGAGGAGGAGGAGGTGGAAGTGGAGGAGGAGGTGGTGGAGGTGGAGGAGGAGGTGGTGGAGGAGGTGGTGGAGGAGGTGGTGGAGGAGGAGGAGGTGGTGGAGGTGGTGGTGGAGGAGGAGGTGGTGGAGGAGGTGGTGGTGGTGGAGGAGGAGGAGGTGGTGGTGGAGGAGGAGGAGGAGGTAGAGGTGGAGGAGGTGGAGAAGGAGAAGGAGAAGGAGAAGGAGAAGGAGAAGAAGGAGAACTTTATTTTTCTACCCTGCCTCTATCTCGGGGCAGCTTACATGGGGTCAAGCCCATGGCAACATACAATTAAAAACAGAACAATAACACATTAAAATAGCATAAAAACAGCATAAACAATAATAATTGCTTTTTATGTTGGGGGACATCGAATTGTGCTGTTTGTAAACCACCGAGTCACCTTTGGGCTGAGAATAAGATATATAAATAAGATAAAGAAATAAATATTTATTTTAAATGCTGGGTTTTGACAATGCCTTAGAAAGAGCTTGAACGTAATAAGCTTGAACATAGCCTGGAAAAGTTCCTCTTTGAGCCAGAGTTGCAGTTAGCGTTCAAACAAGTAATTTTTACAAGCATTGCATATACAGATTTTGGTGTTTCCATTCATACTTCTGTCTTCTTTCGTTATTTTCACGCTCCCCTCTTTTCAGCTCTATTTTCACGCTGCCCTCTTTTCAGCATAGCATCGCTATCTCTGATGAATTATTGCTGCTTCCGTTACATGAAGTTTGTTTCTAAAATGTCAAATATGATGGCCTTCAAAGATCAAATCATCAAACCACTTTCCTCTGTTTAACTTGCACAAGTTTTTTTCCTGTTTAAGATGAACTGGCAGAAGGTTGATTTAACTGAGCCAAGATGGGAAGAACCGTAGGCTCAAAATGAGGCCTGAGTTTCCAGTCAGCTTTACTGTCATCAGTTGTGAAGTTTATAATTCTTTGTTCATTCTTGCTTTAAATGCACACATTATATTTATGTATAGATAATAGAGATATGTGTGTGTGTGTTGTTGGTTTAGATACTTGATTGGCCACAATTCATACCTTTAATATTTAGGGAATTTTGGATGCGGTACCAAATCTGGATTGTAACATATATTGCAACTATAAATACTATATTTTATTTGATAGAGGTTTTTTAAGCTGGTCCTGCAAAATTAAAAAGATGCAAAGACCCATCATCAATATCTGATTTAGAGAAACAATTCCATACCAGCCCATCTATATAAATAAAAATGTAATGTTAATTTGTGGGATTAACATAGCTCAAAAACTATTGGATGAATTGCCGCCAAATTTGGCCACAAGACACCTACCAACCCAAGGAGTGACCATCACTCAAAAAAAAAGTGAGTTTGTCATTTGGGAGTTGTAGTTGCTGGGATTTATAGTTAACTTACAATCAAAGAGCATTTTGAACTCCACCAATGATGGAATTGAACCAAACGTGACACACAGAACTCCCATGACCAACAGACAATACTAGAAGGGTTTGGTGGGCATTGACGTTGAGTTTGGAAGTTTTAGTTCACCTACCTCCATGACCAACAGAATAAATAAAAATACTGTGTTTTCTAATGGTCTTTGGCGACCCCTCTGAGTCCCTCCTCGTGACCCCCTCAGGGGTCCCAACTCCCAGGTTGAGAAACGCTGATCTAGTACCTTTTATATAAATGGTTCATTTTCAAACCTCGATTCCCCCATAAAACTTGACGTGAACATAAGGATCAAATTGTAACTCATGAGACAATAGTTGCCAAAACAATTCTAATGGCAATAAAATTGCTGGCAAACACTGCCCTTTTTTAATACAGAGAGAATCAGAAACTGTCTATTTCAATAGAAGTTCAAAAATTAAGGTTTCAGGGATGTTCATGGAAGATGACTTACTTTATGTGGATATGCAGAGAAATTAACAGATATCCTCGATTGTATATAAAAAGGTCTGGAAGGCCGAACCCTTGCTCCTTGATTGGAATCGGAATTATTTTCATTACAATTCTAAGAGGTGATGAGTATGTCCCCCATGAGATGGCTGTTCTTCAGGAGTGGAGGCAGAAGGCAAGACTCAATTCACCAGTATTGCCATTCTGATACCTGAGAGAAGTGATCTAGCCAGCTCATAAGAAGCCTGACTATGGTTGGAATTAACGTGCAGGGCAGGATATTAAACCACACCAAGACTTAAAATATTTTAGCTGTATGTTTGAGAGAGCTAGATGGATACAAATATCCTCATCACCAGATCCCATCTGATCTTGGCAGCCCTGGTACATGGATGGGAGACTGTCAACGAATGCCACTTGCTGTGGGTCATATTTCAGAGGAAGTAACTGATAAAAAGTGTGAAAAAGACCTTGGAGACCTTGTGGACAACAAGTTAAACATGAGCCAACAATGTGATGTGGCGGCAAAAAAAGCCAATGGGATTTTGACCTGCATCAATAGGAGTATAGTGTCTAGATCCAGGGAAGTCATGCTACCCCTCTATTCTGCCTTAGTTTGACCACACCTGGAATACTGTGTCCAATTCTGGGCACTGCAATTGAAGGGAGATTTTGACAAGCTGGAATGTGTCCAGAGGAGGGCAACTCAAATGATCAAGGGTCTGGAGAACAAGCCCTATGAGGAGCGGCTTAAGGAGCTAGGCATGTTTGAGCAGGCGTTCGAATAATTAGGCGTTCAAATAATTAGTGCAATGATTGGTTAATGAACACTGGAATGGAACAATGGATGACGAATCTGGAACATGTTTTTGATGACGAGACGACAGTGAATGGGTATTGTAGTAACTGTTTATTAATTGTGTAATGTGTTAGGTTGTTAACTGTTTCTATACTGTAACACTGAATTTTTGCTGTTCGTATTTGTTGTGAACCGCTGTGAGTCGCCTTCGGGCTGAGAACAGCGGTATATAAGTAAGGTAAATAAATAAATAAATGTTTAGCCTGAAGAAGAGAAGGCTGAGAGGAGACATGGTGAGGGCCATGTATAAACATGTGAGAGAAAGCCACAGGGAGGAGGGACCGAGCTTGTTTTCTGCTGCCCTGGAGACTAGGACGCGGAACAATGGCTTCAAACTACAAGAGAGGAGATTCCACCTGAACATTAGGAAGAACTTCCTGACTATGAGAGCCATTCAGCAGTGGAACTCTTTGCTCCGGAATGTGGTGGAGGCTCCTTCTTTGGAGGCTTTTAAACAGAGGCTGGATGGCCATCTGTTGGGGGTGCTTATTTATTTATTTATTTATTTACAGTATTTATATTCCGCCCTTCTCCACCCTGCAGAGAACTCAGGGCGGATTACAATGTACACATATATGGCAAACATTCAATGCCAAAGACACACAACAGAAATAGACGAACAGTCAGAGGCTATTTAACTTTTACTGGCCACCAGGGGAGCTGTCGCTTTCATCGTCCATCTGCGATGCTGATGAAGTACTTCTGCATTCCCCGCATGCTTTTGCTTGAGTGCTTTGCTGGAGTTTTTTTTATGGCCTCGTAAATTTTGTTAAATTAGCCTCCCCACACATAGGTGGTACCTAATTTTCCTACTTGACAGATGCAATTGTCTTTCGGGTTGCAAAGGTCGACAACAAGCTACACAACTGGTTGGAAGCTCACTCTGACCCGGGCTGGCTTTGAACTCATGACCTTGTGGTCTGCCACAATGAGCAGAGCTTCTGTCTTCTCCCCCCAACTCCCCACCAGATATTATAGGATGCTGACTCTCATCTGTGCTTTGAATGCAATTTTCCTGCTTCTTGGCAGAGGGGTTGGACTGGATGGCCCATGAGGTCTCTTCCAACTCTATGATTCTAAAACCAGTATTGAGCATTCCTTGTCTAAGAAAACCCCATGAAATTCATGTGGGTGCCATAAGTCAATAGGCAATTGAAAGGCAAACACAAGCTGATACACACACACACTCTTAATGACAAAAATACATTCCAGCAAGTCTAGCAGATGTCCCATCTCTGAGAAAGCCCACACTGATTGATCCAAAGAGTTCACAGTGGTCATTTCAAGAAAGAGTTCAAGAATGTTCATAAATATTTAATTATCAAACTTTACAATACTGCAAAATAAAAAACAAAACAGTGCCTTTACAAAACATCAGAAGAACTGCAGAAAACTGGAATGTCCTTGAAGTCCAAGAAAGTACTAAAAAGGGTAGGGAAGCTCCCTGGCATCTTACTGTGCTGTCAATGATTCAGTGAAATAAGAAATACTGCCAATGGGCAAAGTGTAAGATCAGGAAGAGTTACCCATGCTGAAATCTGCCACAATGAGCAGAGCTTCTGTCTTCTCCCCCCAACTCCCCACCAGATATTGTAGGATGCTGACTCTCATCTGTGGTAGCCAGTATAGGAGGATCACAGAAGTTGAAATTCAGTAACATACAAAGGGCATCTCCCCCTCCTTCCCTGCTTTTCATGCTTGCATAAAAGCAGGCTCTGGGCACGAACAACTATTTTATTTCTTGCGGGAGTGGAAGCTCTACCAACCTTGTGGGTCCCTCTTACTAGCTGAAAGGCCAAGTTCCTCTTCAGGGTGAAGCAGCCCCTCAATAGGAAAAACACACCACACATATCTGTGAGCAAAAGAAATCCCTTCTTCACGCGTCAATCACATACGGTGCCACAAGTTCTAAATCCACGAGAGACTCTTCCAGCGGCTGCTCCACGTGGAAGTCACGCTGGTGCTGGGGCCCCTGGCGGGCTTTTTTGCCTCCACGCTGGGGAATGGGCAGCTCTGAGTGATGGGCGGGCAGCGGAGGGGTGAAGAAATAAGGATGTAAGAGGGCCTGGAGATGAAAAGTAAACAAACATGGTCTCACTCAGTTTGGCCAAGGGCCACCTGATCAAAGAGCGGCCCAGGAGAGGCCCAAGGAGTTCTACAGGAATAACAACAACAACAACAATAACAACTTTATTCTTATACCCCTCCTCCATCTTCCCAAAGGGACTCAGGGCTTACATATGGCACAAAGTGCCTAAAATAAAGCATAAAATAAACACACTGTACAACACAATAAAGTAAAACATATAGCATATAAAATAACAATTTAAACTCAGAACAATGCCCAATGGTGACAATTATCATAAGACATGGCCAGACTGTAAACAACACAAGGGAATGGGATAGTGCTAATTGTAGCTAAGGAAACAAGGGCACGCGATGAAAGTGCAGTTCAAAGGCATGTGCTATCTAAAATAGGCATCCAACAACTGTGGCACTCCAGTTGTTTGGGCCTCTAACTCCAAGAAGCCCCAACCAGCTTGTTAAATGGTCAGGAATTCTGGGAGTTGGAGGCCCAAACAGCTGGAGGGCGACAGATGTAGGATGCGTGATCTAAAAGGATAGCATGTCAGTGCACTGCTGTATGAACCTAGTCCCTCTTTCTTTACACAGCTATTTCTTGTTTGCCTGAGTCTCAGTTGCTGACTGCTGAGAATGCATTTCTTGGTTCAGAATACAGCATACTTACAACCCTCTTTAAAATAGTCAACTGATCCAAGATGACACCTATTCTGCAAATTAGTTCTTTGCATCCAGAGTTGTGCCGTGTGGTACATCAGTCCCATCTATTCTTAAAATTTAGAATTAGCATCTTATGTTGCCATGTGAATTGTCCCTGAAATTATAGCAAGGAAGTATTTCAACTCACACAACTATTATGCATATTATAATATTTTTCTTTGGGTTGTCAAATGAACAATTTAAGAGTGTTAATTTTAAGGCGACATGTCATATGACACTGCAGTAAGACTGTTACTTACTGCAGAAATGGGAAAAAAAACAAAAACAAAAGGGTAATGGATTTTTAAAAGTTCAGAATGGCTGAAATGGGCAAATTACTTTCCCTAATTAGGGAGAAGTTGTTGGGAACGTTCTTAAAAAACTAGGGGTTGTTTTATCTTTTGTAAAGGAGGAAGAATTAAAGTTTGTCCTAGTAAAATTTGAAGACGGAAGTTTTGTTTTGATTTTTGCAGGACTTTAAATAAGAAGATATCATGTCAGTGAAGTAGCATTCACCTGTGGTTTAAATACACAGTGACAAGCAAGCCAATGGAGAAGGGTATCATTTCACTCAGTCCCTATTAGGAAGTCGCCACTCTAGTCCTACTAAAAGTTACAATACAATACAATACAATATTTCTGCTCCCAATTATTTTGGTTAACGGATACTCAACCTGGAAGCAGAAGTGTTCCATATTTTAAATTTTGGAGTGGGTTTCCAACCAATTGTGTAGCCTGTTGTCAACCCTTGCAACCCGAAAGACAGTTGCATCTGTCAAGTAAGAAAATTAGGTACCACCTTAAAGTGTGAGGAGACTAAATTAACTAATTTATGAGGCCATAAAAAAGACTCCAGCAAAGCACTCCAGCAAAAAAGCATGCGGGGAATGCGGAAGCACTTCATCAGTGTCGCAGATGGACGATGAAAGCGACAGCTCCCCTGGTGGCCAGAAAAAGTTAAATACCCTCTGTTGTATGTCAAAATTGGCATTGAATGTTTGCCATATATGTGTACACTGTAATCTGCCCTGAGTCCCCTGCGGGGTGAGAAGGGCGGAATATAAATGCTGTAAATAAATAAATAAATAAATAAATAATGAGGTATCTTGGAAATGGGACCCAAGATTAAACACAACATTCATTAATGTTTCATTATTTTGCAATAATGTTGAGCGCAAAGCAAAGTGTGTGTGTATTCAACCATCAGAAAGAAAAGGTGTCACGAAGGTCCCTTCCACACAGCTGTATAAAACCCCTATTATCTGCTTTGAACTGGATTATATGGCGGTGTGGACTCAGATAACCCAGTTCAAAGCAGATATTGTGGATTATCTGATTTGATAATCTGGATTATATGGCTGTGTGGAAGGGCCCTAACTCAGCTCCTCAGGTGGACAATTTCAGAATTTGGATATTTTGGATTGTGGATATCTAGATAACGGATGCTCAACCTATTTTCGCTATAAAAAGGAAAATTAGTCGGTTTAGAGCTGCCATTTCATTGAAAGCCCTCTCACCCTTCCCATGTGATTCACACACTGACACCTGGCAGAATGCATACTTTTTAAAGAAGGCAGGTCTGCACGGCAACTTCTTTGGAAGCCTGCATTCAGCACACTCCCCAGGAGGGTTATGCTCTCTTGTTGTGCAAAACTCTGAGAGCATCTTGCCCAGTTTTCTTACTGTTTCCCATGCTAAACAATAGGAAAGGAAGTGCAGGGTGCCTCCAAGTGGTTGGACTTGAAATAGTCATTAGCTTCATGCCAGAAGTACTTGAGACACCAACACTACCTTTGCATCTGCCTACAGGAGATATTTATGCATCTACAGTGGGCCATAGTGGTTTAAGCATGAAACTATGACTCTGAAGTCCTGGATTCAAATATCTACTCGGCTATAGAAACCTGCTGGGTGACTTTGGGCAGGTTACACTCTCTCAACCTCAAAGGAAAGCAAAAACAAGCCCTCTGGCCAAATCTTAAAGAGTCAAAATAAGAGTTAGAAATGGCTTGAAAGCACACAGCAACAAACTGACAGAAAGCCTTTTTAGCCTCAGCCAAAAAATCTCCTTGAGTTGCTTATTAAACTTTTTAAACAGAGGGCCAGATCATAGTCCCTCAAACTGTTGGAGGGCCAGATTATAATTTGAAAAAAAAAAAGAATGAATTCCTATGCACACTGCACATATCTTATTTGTAGTGCAAGAACACTTAAAAACAATACAATAATTAAAATGAAGAACAATTTTAACAAATATAAACGTATTAGTATTTCAAGGGTTAGGGAAGAGGTGAAAGAATAATAAGCAAGTGCTCTTTCAGTTGGCCTAAGGTTTCACCACACCTGCCGATGATGATGAGGTGGTATAAACAAACAATTAAAGACTCCAAGAATCACTTCTCCCCATGCCTGCCTTAAATATGCCGCCTGCTTTTGCTGCTCACACAGGAATGCAAAAATAAGTGGCAAACTCAAATGAACTACAATTAAAAGGACAAGCCTTTCGTATCTGCGAGACCTTTACCTGCAGTCTCATTTATTTAATGTATTTCCTCAGCACATCATAGGCATCCAGGCCTATGATGTGCTTCTGCTGGATGTTGACGATACAGTTGTGTTGGAGGAAATACTTAGAGAGGTGTCCTCTAAGCATTTCCTAGATCCTCCACACAACTCCATGGTATTCTTCTGCGAGAAGCAATTTATTCAGTTGGGTTCCCCATTACTTTTGATGCAGCCACCTGGAATCTATCCCCTACAGATTCGGGGCTTGCACCCTAGTAGACTATTTAATAAATTTTGTAGGAACTTTTGGGCATATGGTTGCCAGTTGTAACAATTGTGAAGCCGCAGTCTCCATCAGTGTTTATACAAGAGACAGCAGGAGCTACTCCCTCTGTCCAGCCACTTCCCGCAGTGCAGTTCCATCACCTCAGCCACTGATCAACAACTCTCTTTCTGCTTAATTCTGACCACTAAGAGAAGATGAAGCAGACTCCGCCCACGGTATAAAACTACTCCTTCCTTTTTAGTGCTCAGGAGCACCGATTATGAGTCCAAGAGCAACCACATAGCTGATCAAGGAGACAGAGCTACATCCTAGAGAGCCAGATTTGGTATGAGGGCCATAGTCAGCATAGTCAGCTGCTATGCCAGCTCCACTGAGCCCAAATCAAAGTGCCGGTTTTGACCTATAAAGCTCTATATGGTTCTGGCCCAGCTTACTTGTCTGAACGCCTCCACCCCTACGTCCCACCTCGTAATCCAAGATCTTCTGGGGAGGCCCTGCTCTCACTCCCGTCAACAGCACAAATGCGTCTGGCGGGGATGATAGACAGGGCCTTCTCAGCTGTGGCCCCCCGCCTATGGAACACACTCCCAAATGAGGTAAGATCCGCTCCCTCCCTCCTGGCTTTTAGAAAAAAATTAAAATCATGGTTCTGGGGCCAGGCCTTTGGACAGTAGATGTATGTAGCATTTTAGAGGGACATTGACTGGAACGGCGATTTGACTGACGAGACTCTTTTATTGTCTTAATTCTTGTTGATGTGTTGTTTTAATTATGATTTATGTTTAATTGTGGTTTTACTATTGTAATTGTTTGTATTGCCATCAAATCGGTGCCCGATGAAAAGCATTGAATTTTGCCATTATTTATGTTCTCCCAGGGGTGAGAAAGGCGGTATATAAATACTGTAAATAAATAAATTATGGAAGATGAGAATGGATATTTCCTATCACAGGTTTAACTATTTAATACATTTGATATGTGACTACACACACGCGAGTTATGATGGCATCTGTGTGCAGTCATAAGCTTCAGTTCCACCTGTGTAGCTCACCAGCATGCTGCTGGCCCACATGCCCCGCTACATGCTGACTATGACACTCCAGAATTCCTCACCTGCAACATTCTAGCAGCAATGAAAACCAGCTAGGAACCTCTGCTAATATGGAAAATAGGGTGTATTCAGCCTTACCTCTGCTGCCTGCACACGCTGTTTGGAAGGATAGACCAGGAACTGTTTCAGGAGCTGCACAGCTTGTGGAGAGGCATCGGGTACTATTTGCTCCAGAGGAATGGGCAACTTCTCTTTGAAGGAGATTTTGTTGTAATCAGGCAATTCAGTGATCTCCTGTCCCAACAACAAAATATCATAGGCAGATCAATAACAATGTCAGAGTGGGAAGAAATCTGGACTAGAAAGTTAAAATACTCATACGCATCAGAAATCAAGGAGAACTGGTATAAAATATTTTATAGGTGGTACCTGACTCCTGAGATAATATCAAAGATTAATAAGGGAAAAATAAAGGATGACTGCTGGAAGTGCGAAAAACACAAAGGCAACTTTTTCCACATGTGGTGGAAGTGTAAAAAAGTAAGGAATTTCTGGTATGAAATATATGAAAAGATCAAACTAATCCTTAATATCAAATTTGAACTAAAACCCGAATCAATGCTATTAGGGATCACTGACTTCCTCAGACAAAAATTCAGAAAAAAATTCTTTTATTTTACAACAGCTGCAAGAATCATTCTTGCTAGAGTGTGGAGGACGAGTGAAAAACCCACGGTCGAGCAATGGATATTAAAAACAATGGACATTATGAATATGGACATACTTACACATAGAATCTCACAAAATTATATAAAACCTCCTAGAACAAATTGGAAAAGCTTCTTGGAATTCATTAAGAAAGAGTACAATGAATTATATTAAAATTTTCTGAACGAATCTTGAAGGATAATCGCCATGAAGCTGACGACACGAGTACACAAAGAAAAAAAAAGGGGGGGGATAATTAGGATAACCTCCCTAATCTGGACAATCTTGGAAGTTCTGCACATATCTCTTTTGGTTTGTTTGTTTGTTTGTTTTGTCTGTTTGTTGGTTTGATTGTTTGTTTTATTTTGTCTCTTTTGCACACTTTTCTTCTCCTACTTTACTTTATGACATTGTTCCCACTCTTTCGATGTAACCAAGGGGATATCTAGGGTTTTTTTTCTTTTCTGTCTTTTAGCTCCAAGCTTGGAGATAAATATATTCTAAATAAAAATAACTTTAAAAAATATCTCTCTTACTTTGAAAATCTCCATCGTTCCCATGGAGGAATAGCCATAGCAAGCTTTTGGAAATGCAGCGTAACAGATAAACATAAAACTATGGAAGAGCGAACATGGAACGCCTAGACGTTGCTACTGGAAAAATGAACTTAACAGGAAGACACTGGTGATTATATTTTTAATGGGTTTTTTGTGGATTTTTATAATGCTTTTTAATTGTATTTTATGACTATCGTGGCATCAAATTGCTGCCAATTTGTAAGCCGCCTTGAGTCGCCTTTGGGCTGAGAAAGGCGGGACAGAAATACTGTAAATAAATAAATAAATAAAAACCACAGTTCCTGTCTTAGCAAGTTATCTAAAGGGAAGAGGGTGGTGGAGAGCAAGTATAGATCTCCAGATGCTTTCAGACTGCAGCTCCCAGTATTCCTCACTGCTGGCTAGGTGTGATGGGAGCTACAGTCCAAAGATAGCTGGAAGGCAACATGATTCTCACCCTTGAGCCCCTGACAACTAAGTCTCACCGGCCAGATCTTCTGGTTTGGAGTCCCAAGCACTCTTAGGACACAGCATAGCTGCTCGATATCATTCTCCCCAGGAAAGAGGGGGGAATTGTTGAGAAGTTCGGCGAAGATGCAGCCCACAGCCCTGATCAAAGGAGAGAGAATCGGTAGCCCAAATTACAGGAGGTGAAGCTGAATCATCTACATTTCAGAATCTTACTAAATCCTAGTTCTTTGATTCAAACTGCTGTGGAATGAGATTCTTTCTTGCAGCTTCCCTCCCCCCCCCCAAAAAAAATGTTATCCTCTTTGATGGCAGCCATTTTTAATAGGGACTTACTGCCAAAGCCTCTCTGCTCCTATTAAAAATGGCCATCATGGTCTTTCTACACAGAGAATAATGCAGCAAGCCTTTGTTTTAAAAATGGCTACTGCTGTTCAGTTCCACCTCAAGAACCAAGACTGATGCATTCTTTGAGCTCCTCCATGTTGCTACTAAATGCTATTTAGGCGGGGGGGGGGGGGGAGGTGAGGTAGGAGGGAGGGCTGCCATTCTTTCTCTAATTTCGACAATGGATTGGTAATGGGATGGGAGCTTCTCTCCTCTGTCTCTTGTCACTATCTTAGAACTGGGAGGAAAAATATGTATTAGTAAATGTATACGCACCAAATGTAAAACAGCAAGAATTTTATGAAAAAGTGTTAGAGCAAATAGAGAATTACCATCAACAAAATGTAATATTTGGAGGAGATTGTAATTGCTGTATGGATTTAAAGAAGGATAAAACTACGATAGCATCAAAAGTTAGAAATATTGAAACAACGGAATTAAGTAGAGTAATGAATAAATGGCAATTAAAGGACGTATGGAGATTGGTAAAAGGGAATGAAAGCAGATATACATACTACTCATCGGTACATAAGGTGTATACAAGAATTGATTATATTTTTGTCTCCAAAAATATGACAAGTAAAGTACTAAATGCTGATATAGGTATGATTAAGATTTCGGATCATGCTTTGGTTTCAATTGAGATTGTGTTGAAATGTGATTATGACAAAATGAAAAGGTGGAGGTTAAATACAAGAATACTAAATCACAAAGAAATAGTAGATAAAGTGCAAGCAGAATGGCAAGAAATTTGGGGTTTTAATGAAAAGGGGGTGACAAAGGGAGTTCTATGGGATACTATGAAAGCAGTGACCAGAGGGTTATGCATAAAAGAGACAATTAACTTAAGAAGAAGGCAAGAAGAAAGGAAAAGGAATTTAGAAAGAGAAATAGAGGAGATTGAAAAAGCATATGTAATAAAGAGAGATATACGAATCTATGCTAGGCTAAGAGCAAAAAAAGAGGAATTGGATAAAATGGAAATAGACGAAGTGCAAGAAAATTTAATTTATTTAAGGAGGGAATATTTCGAGTTTAGTGATAGGAATTCAAAGATGCTAGCCAAATCAACACAGAAAAAGAAAATGGAAGGAATGATAAATATGATAAAAGATAAAACAGGTAAATTATGTAGAGCTATGAAAGAAAAATTGAAAGTATTTGAAGAATTTTATAAAGAACTGTACCAAACCAAAGCAAGTCCCATAGAGGCAATTAGGAAATATGTGGAGGAAAATTGGGAGAGTAAGCTGGAAGAGAAAGATAAAGAATTACTGGAACAACCTATTAAGAAAAAAGAAATAGAGGAAGTTATTAAGAAATTAAAAGTTGGCAAAGCTCCGGGCTTGGATGGTCTAGGGACAGAATATTATAAAAGCTTTAGAGAAGTTTTAACCCCAAAATTATTAGAATTGTACAAAGGAATAATGAAGGGAGATAAAATACCCGAATCATGGAGGAAATCATTAATAATATTAATACCTAAACCTGATAAAGACCTAACAGACCCAGGGTCATATAGGCCCATATCATTAATTAATCAGGATGCAAAGATATTGTCCGCGATAATAGCTAATAGAATGAATAAATGTATGTATAAGTACATAAAAGAAGATCAGTGCGGGTTTATAAAAGGAAGACAAATGTCAAATTTGATAGGGAGAGTACTAAATAAAATTCATTGGGCTAAAGAGGGGAAAGAAAAAGCAGGGATATTATCATTAGATATTTTTAAAGCGTTTGATTGTGTGGAATGGGAGACATTAAGGGAAATATTGAATAAATTCGGAATGGGAAATAGAATAAAAGGAGTATTAAAACAATTTTATTCAAGGAACTCGGCAGTGGTAACTATAAATGATGGAGTGACAAATGAAATAAAAGTGACTAGAGGAACCAGACAAGGGTGCCCTTTGTCCCCGATATTATTTGCCATGGTGATAGAACTGTTTGCTAATAACATAAGGAATGACAAAAATCTAGAAGGGTTAGGAAAAAAGGAGAAACAGAAGGTGAGTTTATTCGCTGACGATACATTGTTATTTATAGAAAATATAGTGGAGAAAATGGATAGAATAAAAGAACATTTGGAGATATTTGGGAAAGCAACAGGCTTACAAGTTAATTGGAGTAAGTCAGAAATGATGCTACTTAATTATACAAGAGAAGAAGAAAAAGATCTTATAGAACAGAGCAAAGGGGGAATAAGAATTAAGAACAAACTAAAATACTTGGGAGTAATAATAACTAAGGATTTAAAAGAGATAGAGGAAGTAAATGTAGTAACATTAAGGAAAGAAGTCCAGAAAAAGTTAATACAGTACGAAGGAATACGCTTATCATGGTTTGGAAGAATAGCATTAGTAAAAATGAAAATACTTCCAAAAATAAATTTCATATTTAGGATGCTACCACTTCAAATTACAGAAGAAGAACTAACTAGATGGCAACAAATGATTAATAAGTACTGTAATGGAAGTAAAAGGAACAGACTAAATAAACAATTATGGTATAGATCGCAAAAGGAGGGTGGACTGGCGTTACCTAATATAAAAAAATATTACGAAGCAAGTAGATTAAGTTTGGTTATAGAAGGAATGGTCAAAGAAGAGGGAATAGATTGGCTTAGTAATGATTCAGGAAAAGTGGAAGATGAAACTTGGAATATATTTTTTAAACAGTTTACTAGAAAAGAAATGAGGGAAATTAGAAACCCAATGCTGAGCAATATACTTAAAGTATGGAATAAATATAAGGGGAGGTTAATAAAGGAGGGATCAATTATAACCCCAATAGTGATGGAAAAGAAGTTCCCAAAAAATTTAAAAAAAGCAATGGATAAAAAGGTAAGGGAAATAAATTTAGATAGGATAGGGGATTGGATGAAGGTGGAAATGAAGAGGGAAAGGATGTTGGAAGAGTTTAAAGAAATAAAATTGTCATGGTTTCATTGTATACAATTAGAACAATGGGTAATAAATTGGAAAAAAAATAATAGAAGTGAAAGCCAACTCAGTCAATTCGAACAAATAATACAGAAGGGAAGGACTGTAGAAGAACACGAAAACTTGAGAGGTATAATTAGCAAAATTTATAAGATATTAATTGAAATGAAAGATGAAAAAAAACAAAAAAGTGCACCCTTAAAGAGATTTGGGAAGAAGATTTAGGGATAAAAATAAGCGAAATAGAGTGGCAACAATTATGGGGACAAAGACATTTAAAAAATTTATCGATACGAGTTAAAGAAAATTATTACAAGTTAATATGGAAGTGGTACTTGACACCGGTAAGAATAGCATATATGAATAAAAATAACTCAATAAATTGTTGGAGAGGGTGTCAAGAACCAGGAACATATATACACATGTGGTGGCAATGTAAATATGTAAATAATTTTTGGGAGAAAGTATTTAGAGAAATAGAAACTATAATGAATATAAAATTAGATAAAAGCCCTAGTATAGCATTACTATCACTATATAACGATAAGCAATTGAAAAAGGAGGATAAAGAAGCGATAACAAACTTACTAACTATAGCAAGACTGCTTATAGCAAGGAATTGGAAAAAAGAAATGAATATACAAATAGAGGAGTGGTATAAAGAAGCATGGAAAATAGCAATAAACGATAAGCTTACATGTATATTAAAAGTTAAAAAAAAGGTATATGGAAGGAAAGTGATTTTGATGTTGTGGAAGATTTGAGGTAAATGGATTAAAAAATAAGGAAGGAAAATTACCGTCACAAGAAGAAATGAAATTTTGGACAGATGAAATGTAAGAAGGGTGGCTTGAAATGGTGGAGGGGAGCACTGTGGTGAAAAAAGGGGGGAAAAAATGAGAAAAGGGGGAGAAATGTCAGAGTAAAATAATAAAATAACATGTTAAAGAGGTTGATGTACAAAATGTAATAGTATGTAATAAAGTGATAATCAATAAAAAATTTATATATAAAAAAAAAAAGAACTGGGGCCATAATAGAGGCAGATTGCTTTTCTTGCCCTTCTCCCCTTGCTCCCCACTTTTCATTTATTTTCCTTTTCCTATCTGTATTGTTAAAGTGTAGACATTTTAAGATTAGCAATGCAATTTATACCCCTCTCCATTGTAATCCCACAAATAAAGAGATCTCCTTCTCTTTAGCTCTTTCTAAGTAAATTCCTTTTATACATTTTAAAAGGAAAGGATTTGTTTGTACAAACCCCAATATTTTATTCTCAACTGATGCATGGATCAATGCAAAATCCATAATTTTGGCCCTCAAACCTACCCTCATCTTATTATGAGGTTGACTTATTGTTACATATGCTATATTTAATTACACATGGAATCCAAAATTCTCCCTATTTTTGTCTAACCCTGCAGTTTCAATAGGTTGGGGTTAATTTTCCATTCTCAATAAAGAATACCCACAAAATAATGTCCAGATGAGAGGATCAGGACTCTTGCAGCAAACAAAGTAAATGGGTCCTGCCTATTTACACGGCCGGGCCTTACAATCGACTGGGGAGGCCCTCCTCTCAGTTCCACCTCCTTTGCAACCAAGGCTGGCAAGGACAAGGAAAAGGGCTTCCTTATTGGTGGCCCCCCCAACTCTGGAATACCCTCCCCAGGGAGATTAGAAAGGCATCCACCCTCACAGCATTTAGGAGGGACTTGAAGACCTGGTTATTTAAACAGGCTTTTAATAGTGATTAGTCAAACTCTAGGATATGGATTTTTAAAAATGTTTTTATTGTAATGGTATCCATCTAATCCATCGAAATAAACTTACTTTATGTACATCCATAAACCATTACATTTTTGCCCCCTTTTTTTCCCTCCCCCCCTCCCTCCAACTTTACAACAAAGAATTTTTTAAGTGCAACCAGTTCAGGATTCTTTCCATTTTTCCTTTATCTGATCATTAGCTTTCCCTTCTTCAACCCATTTCACATATCTTAACCAGTTCTCTTTAATTCGTTGTATTTTTATAGACCATGGTATATCTTGCATTATTCCCATAATATCCGACTGTACTTGTTCATAAGTGTATTCGTTCCATCTGTCCATTGTCCATTTTTTCTAGGATATGGATTTACCTCAATGGGGTAGTAAGCTCTTTTAGGTCATAGGAACGACTGTATTTTTATTGTTAACTAGCTGTACCCGCCACGCGTTCCTGTGGCCAGCCTTCCCTCTCTCTTTCTCTCCTCCCTTCCCTCTTTCCTTCCTTTCATCTTTTTCTTTCCCTATCTCTCATCTTTCTTCCATCTCTACCTGTTTCTTTCCTCCCTTTCTTTGCTCTTTGGTTACATCCTTCCTTCCTTCCCTATCTTTTTCCTGTCACCTTTTTATTTCCTTCTCTCCTTCCTTGCTTCTCTATCTTTCTTTCTTTCCTTCTTTCCCTTCCTCCTTCTCTCCTTCCTTCCTTCCCTCTTTCCCTCCTTCTCTCGTTACTTCTTGACTGTCCCTTCCATTTAATATTGTATTTATATCTTACATAGAAAGAAGGAAAGGAAGAAGGAAGGAAGGAGGGACAGGAAGGAAGGAAGGAAAAAGGAAGGGAGGGAGGGAAAGAAGGGAAGGAAGGAAAAGAAAGAAGGAGGGACAGGAAGGGAGGGAGGGAAAGAAGGGAAGGAAGGAAAAGAAAGGAGGAGGGACAGGAAGGGAGGGAGRGAAAGAAGGGAAGGAAGGAAAAGAAAGAAGGAGGGACAGGAAGGGAGGGAGGGAGGAAGGAGAAGGAAGGAAGGAGGGAAAGAAAGGAGGGGGTGAAGAAAGGAGGGAGGGAAGGAAATGAAGGGAAAGGAAATGAAGAAAGGGAAAGAAGGAGGAAAGGAAGGGAGGGAGGGAGGGAGGGAGGGAGGGAGGAAAAGAAGGAAAGGAAAAAGGAAGGAGGGACAGGAAGGAAGGAAAGGAGGGAAAGAAGGAAAGGGAGGAGAAGGGAAGAAGAAAAGGAAAGAAAGGAAAGGGAGGAAAGAAGGAAAGGGAGGGAGAGAAGGAAGGTCCTTTATTCAAGCATCGTGGACCTTCCTCGCCGCCTCCTCCCCCTCCTCCTCCCTTTCTTCCTTGCGTGGAACACTCCGTTGCTGCTGCTGGCACTTTCCAACAGGGAAAGGAGGAGGAGACTCTCCTGACATAGGAGGGGAAGAGAAGGGGCTGCATGCGGCAAGCCTCCACCTCCACTCACTTGTGTGTGTGTGTGTGTGTGTAGCCGTGCACGTGCACATGGCTTTAATGGCCGGCTGTTTCCCCGTGAGGAGGAGGAGGAGGGGGCGTGGCCATGGGTCTCCGTAGACATGCAGTTTCCCCTTTGTGGACATGCAGTTTAGAAGTCCTTTCTGCTTTTTGTTTTTGTTGTTTTTTTGAGTGGAGAACATACATTGGGTTGTTAGGTGCCTTGTGTCCAAATTTGGTGTCAATTCTCCCAGTGGTTTTTGAGTTCTGTTAATCCCACAAACGAACATTACATTTTTATTTATATAGATTTTGTTACTTGATTGTTCTGTATTTTGTGTTTTATATTGATTTGATGTGTTATTGTTTGCCCCATTTTATGTATTTTATTGTATTGCACTTATTGTATTATTTATGTTGTAAGCAGCCCCAAGTCCTCCAGGGAGAGAGGGTGGGATATAAATAAACATCATCATCATCATCATCATCATCAAAGATACTCACCACAAATCCACACCTTCATCATATTTCCTAGCACCATAGAGGAGTTCAGGAGCCCGATACCACCTCATGGAGAAGAAGATCACAAAAATCATGACTCTGAGGAGATCCAAACCCATTCATCTCTATCACTCCTTACACACCAGACTCCACTTTTCCCATACAATCTATGCCACAGTTTTCAGCATCCTCCTACTCCAGTGCTACTCCACAGCTATAATAATAGTAAATAATAATAAACTTTATTTATACCCCACCACCATCTCCCCAACGGGGACTCAGGGTGGCTTACATGAGGCCAAGCCCATACAACAAATTACAATAAAATAAGATACAAGTTACAAAAAAATAAACAACATCACAGAAAGATACAGAACATATGACTAAAATGGAAAAAATAATAATAAAATATATTTTTTAAAAAAAGTAAACCAAACATAATGACAATGAGCGGGCCGCATGTACATAAAATGATTAAAAACTCAGGGTGAGATAAAGGAGCAGAATTATTTGTGAGTGAGAACTACATTTCTAAGCTAGACTTCAAGAGTCTAGAAATAAAATATGTACTTGGGTGGGGTCTGATGTTAATTTGTTGTTGCATGCCTCCATGTTTTTTACCTAAGGTGACCTTATCTGGGCCTGAGAGGGTGTGACTCTCCCAAGGTCACGTATTGGTCATGATCAAGCATGAAACAGATCCCCGATCTTGAGTTGAAGACCAATGGTCAAAGTACTACACATTGCCTTGATTATCAGTCCATGCCCCCTGCCAATCCCTATTCACCTGGTGGCTACTTGGTGGCTATAGAGCCTCTCCCCATCACTGGTAAAGACCCTGGCCAGACCAAAGTCAGCAATTTTCAGCTGACCTGTAGAGCTGATCAGCAAATTGGCTGGTTTCAGGTCCTGTAAAGAAAAGACAAAAATTCAGAAGACCTGCAGGTGTTCAAAGGAAAAGATGGGAAGTGAGCACAGGCTCAGGAAAAGGAACCCTGAAGGAGAAGAATAGACTAGACTTGGCGCTTACCCGATGCATGATGGAGTTGGCGTGGCAGAAGGCCACTCCCTTGAGCAGCATAAGCATGTAGCCTTTTACTTGGGCCTCAGTGAGAGGCTGTTCGGAGTTGCGGATCACCTCAGACAGGTCAGACAGCATGTATTCAAACACCAGCACAAAGCCTGTGCCATGAGGAAAGACATCCTTCAGTTTCACCACCTAAAGAGAGAGAAGGAATGATCTGACATCGGTTTTGCAAACTCTAAAGCAGTGGTTCTCAACCTTTCTAATGCGGTGATCCCTAAATAAAGTTCCTCATGTTGTGGTGATCCCCAACCATATTTTCGTTGCTACTTCATAAATAATTTTGCTACTCTTATGAATTCTACTGCAAATATCTAATATGCAGGATGTATTTTCACTGTTACAAATTGAACATAATTAAAGCATAGTGATTAATCACAAAAACAGTATGTTTGGGGGAGTATGGACAACGGATGACGGGATTTGCAGTACCTTCAAGCAATTCAGCTCTGACTTCCACAGACCACTGAGATCCCCCACGAATTACAGACCTGGACCAAACTTGAACACACAGAACTCCCATGACCAGCGGAAAATACTGGAAGGGTTTGGGAGGAATTGACAGTGATTTATGGGACATGTAGTTCACTTACATCCGAAAAGCACTGTGAACCCAAATGACTATGGATCTGGACCAAACTTGGCATGAATACTCAATATGCCCAAATTTGAACAATGGTGGAGTTTGGGGGAAATGGATCTTGACATTTGGGAGTTGCAGTTGCTGGGATTTATAGTTCCTCTGCCATAAGAGAGCATTCTGAACTCCAACAAAATGGAATTGAAGAAGCTTGGCATACAGAACTCCCATAACCAACAGAAATTACTGAAGAGTTTTGGGGTTATTTTCCTGACATTTAGGAGTTGCTGGGATATATAGTTCCCTCCCATCCAAAAGCATTCTGAACTCATGCAGCCATGGAATGGACTCAAACTTGGCACAGAGAACTCCCATGATCAACAGAAAATACTGGAGAGGCTTGGGGAACATAGACCTTGGCATTTGGGAGTTGCTGGGTTATATAGTTTCCTCCCATCCAAAAGCATTCTGGACTTATGTAGCCATGGGATGGACTCACACTTGGCACAGAGAACTCCCTCCGTCCAACCCCAACCCCTTCTGAGCTCGGATGGAGGCAAGGCCGGGCGGTGAAGGCTCCATGGATGGCCAGGTATTGAGGACGGCAGGGAGAAGTTTACTCACCTTGCAGGTCTGAACAGAGGGGAGTCTTTTTCCCCTGTGCGTTTGCCTCCAAAGCTCCTCCTCCTGACTACGCACAAGTCTGTGGGAAGAGCAGGAGGAGGAGCCTGCCAGGAGTGCCATTTGGCTGGCTCAGGGGGTCGGCAGCCATTTTGGAGGGGGCGGGGCCGTCCAAGGCAGCTTCGCGACCACCCAAAAATGGCCAAACGACACCCCCAGGGGTCGCGACCCCCAGGTTGAGAACCACTGCTATAAAGTCTCATGCCAAAGGGAACAAACTACAAATCAGAAAACCTCTTCCATACACTACTCAAATCACATTACGCTAAGATAGAACACCAGAACCTTTGACTTAAGAAAATGGAAAGAAAATCAGCCCATCTCCAGCCATCAGATACAAATTTGGTTCCAAGAACACTTTGTGCAAACCACACTTTTCTCCCATTCTTCAGTTTTTGATCTTTGCATCCCCAGAAGCCCCAGTCAGCATGGTCAACAATGGGAAATGAAATCCAAAACACTTGGAGGGCTAGTGCATTTAATCCACTTGCCGGCACAGACTTCAACACACTACTCACATGTTGGTTTTCTTCAATTTCTTGCAGGGCCTTGATCTCCCGAAGTGCTTGGTTGGGGATCCCGTCCTCTAGTTTCCGGAGAGCCACTTTCTTCAAGGCAACTGTCTCCCCAGTCTGTCAAGAAGGAGAGCACAGTAAAAACCAAAAACAGGTTTTAACTTCCATATTTGAGAAAGCAGTTGAGTTGTGGTGACAGATCCCACTTACCTCTATATTTTTGGCTTTAAAAACAATGCCATGAGCCCCTTCTCCAATGCGGCCCAAGATGCTGTATTGGTCCATGGTGCTTCTAGGAGTGGAAAGAGAAAAAACACACATTGCCTTCTTAGTTGTGAGACGCATATTATGACAATAATTTATTTATTTATTTATTTATTTATTTATTTATTTATTTTATTTATTTATTTATACGCTTGTATACCGCTAATATCTCAGCCTAAGTCGGCGACTCATTGCGGTTTACAACATTTAAAAAACAGTATTCAGTTTAAAAGCATAAAACACATATACAATACAAATTATTGGGCCACCAATAATAATCCCATGCATCTCATAACTGGAATCGCAGTCCGAAACTCATCGTCCATGATTACCAATCCTTTAATCATCAAAATTCGTTGCAACGGATTAACCGAATGCTTGTTTAAACATCCATGTCTTCAATCTATTCCGAAACACCATCAGCGAGGGGGCTGATCGTACCTCTATGGGGAGGGTGTTCCAAAGCCAAGGGGCCACCACAGAAAAGGCCCTGTCTCTCGTTCCCGCCAGCCGCACGTGTGAAGCCGGCGGGATAGAGAGCAGGGACTCCCCAGAAGACCTTAGGGTCCTGGTGGGCTGATAGGCTGAGATACGTTCGGATAGATAAGTTGGGCCAGAACCGTTTAGGGCTTTAAAGGCCAACGCCAGCACTTTGAATTGAGCCCGGTAGCAGATCGGCAGCCAGTGGAGCTGGTGCAGCAGAGGAGTTGTATGCTCCCTGCGCCCCGCTCCTGTTAGAATCATGGCTGCCGCCCGTTGGACTAACTGGAGCTTCCGGACTGTCTTCAAAGGCAACCCCACGTAGAGAGCGTTGCAGTAGTCAAGACGGGATGTAACCAGAGCGTGGACTACCGTGGCCAAGTCAGACTTCCCAAGGTACGGGCGCAGCTGGCGCACAAGTTTTAACTGTGCAAATGCTCCCCTGGTCACCGCTGAAACCTGGGGTTCAAGGCTCAGCGACGAGTCCAAGATCACACCCAAGCTGCGAACCTGCGTCTTCAGGGGGAGTGTGACCCCGTCTAACACAGGCTGTAACCCTATACCCTATACGTGGGGTTGCCTTGCGACTAACCAGGAGTACCTCTGTCTTGTCTGGATTCAATTTCAATTTGTTCGCCCCCATCCAGACCGTCACAGCGGCCAAGCACCGGTTCAGGACCTCGACAGCCTCCTTAGTAGCAGGTGGAAAGGAGTGACAGAGTTGGACATCATCTGCGTACAGATGACATCGCACTCCGAAACTCCGGATGATCTCGCCCAGCGGCTTCATGTAGATGTTAAACAACATGGGAGACAGTATTGAACCCTGAGGAACCCCACAAGACAAAGGTTGTGGGGTTGAACAGGAGTCTCCCAGTAACACCTTCTGAGACCGACCCTCGAGGAATGAGCGGAGCCACTGCAAAACAGTACCTCCAAGACCCATCCCCGCGAGGCGTCCCAGAAGGATACCGTGGTCGACGGTATCGAAGGCCGCTGAGAGGTCGAGCAGCACCAACAGGGACACACTCCCCCTGTCGAGCTCCCGACGCAGATCATCCACTAAGGCGACCAAGGCTGTCTCGGTACCATGCCCCGGCCTAAAGCCAGACTGTGCCGGATCCAGATAATCCGGGTCTACCAAGAATGCCTGGAGTTGTGAGGCCACCACACGTTCCATGACTTTGCCCAAAAAGGGGAGATTGGAAACAGGCCGATAGTTGACGAATTGAGTGGGGTCCAGTGATGGTTTCTCACAGCTTGCTTTAAGCTGGCTGGAATTTTGCCCTCCCGAAGGGAGGCATTAACCACCACCTTCACCCACTCGGCCAATCCCCCTCTGGCCTCCTTCAGAAGCCAGGATGGGCAGGGGTCTAGGATGCATGTGGTAGCTCTCATTCCTCCAAGCACCTTGTCCACATCCTCGGATTGAACCAATTGAAATGAATCCATCAAAACCGGACAAGCAGATGCTCGTGTTACATCCTCAGATACTGCCGTTAATATGGTATCCAGTCCAGAGCGGATCAAAGCGACTTTGTCTGCGAAGAACCGAGCAAAGCTTCGCAGCGAGCTGCCGAGTCATCAGGGCACCCATCCTGAGTGGCGGGTTTTAATAGGCCTCTGACAACTCGGAACAGTTCAGCCGGACGGTTCTTTGCAGACGCAATAGTGGCCGCAAAGAAAGTCTTCTTTGCGGCTTTTATTGCCGCGGCATATGCCCTTAAAAAGGACACAAACCGTGTTCGTTTGGCTCGCTCGGATCCGAACGCCACACGCTCTCTAGTTCCCTCTTCTTTCGCTTCAACGCTGCCAGCTCCTCGGTAAACCAAGGAGCTGGTTTAGCTCGGCTACTTGAGAGGGGACGTTCTGGAGCGATCGTGTCTATTGCCCTAGTCATCTCCCCATTCCAGAGAGCGACCAGAGCATCAACAGGATCACCAACCGAGGTGGCGGGAAATTCCCCAAGAGCCATCAGGAATCCATCCGGATCCATAAGCCTCCTGGGGCGGACCAATTTAATGGGTCCTCCACCTCTGCGGAGGTTAGGGGGTGCAGTGAGTCTAAAGCTGACCAGGTGGTGGTCGGTCCATGGCAACGGAGAGATGGATAACTCCTCAACACCGCCACCTTCCTCCCATCCCTGGCAGAAAACCAAGTCCAATGTATGTCCAGCACTGTGGGTGGGGCCAGATACCTGTTGGGACAGCCCCATGGTTGCCATGGTAGACATGAAGTCCTGAGCTGCTCCCGATAAGGCGGCCTCGGCATGGACATTGAAGTCCCCCAGCACAAGCAGCCGTTGGGACTCCAATGCCAGGTCCGAGACCACCCCCGCTAGCTCAGGCAGGGAGACTGTAGTGCAGCGAGGTGGGCGGTACACTAACAGAATCCCTAATCTGTCCCGGTCACCCACCCTCAGGTGGACGCATTCAAAATTTGTTGACTGCGGGATGGGGGCAGATTGTAGAATGAGCATTAGATATCCACTGGGGTTTGCTTCCAGGACCTTGCATGGACACCAAAATCCTTGGATGCACAAATTCCACTTTATGAAATGAAATAGTAAAATGTTGTCCTTAATTTAAAATTACAAACTACTCAAATGAATACTAGAGAGAGCTTGAGGATCAACAAAATGGCAGAGGACAAAACAATTATGCGTACACATTATCACAATGGTCAGCAAGTGGCAAAATCCAGGTTTGTTTTTTGGATTTAAAAAAAATATTTCAGTCATGCCTTGCTGAAGGTTTTTCGGGCTGTATTGCCATGTTCCAGAAGCATTCTCTCCTGATGTTTCGCCTGCATCTATGGCAGGCATCGTCAGAGGTAGTGAGGTCACAACTTCAGGAGAGAATGTTTCTGGAACATGGCCATACAGCCCGAAAAACTTACAGGAATCCAGTGATTCTGGCCATGAAAGCCTTCGACAACACTTTTCAGAGCCATGTTTATTTGAATTCCCATCATTCTTCACCAATGAATATACTGGCTAAGTCTAAAGCCTTAAAGGTGCAGATCTCCCCAATACACTTAACCATAATGCCAAGATCTCAAACACAGCTGACACTCAGTTAACTGGCACCCATGGGGATTGGTAAATGCTAGATAAATGTAGTTTCTGGTTGCATGAGAGTTGCTATTAAAAATAGACCTAATGAATACTAAACTCCATGCTATACCATAAACTGTGTATCAACTTGATATGAATACTGTAATTAAACACAAATAAAGACAAACTTAAGTTTTACATTTTGGCTTAAAATGATTTTGTTTAAATTTTTGTTTAAAGTATTATTTTTTCGGAACTCTTCCATTATCTGGGCGGAGACCACTAGGGGGTGCTAGAGAGAGAGTAGAATAGTCCATGGGGGGTAGTTTAAAGAGGCAAACAATTTCCCCTTTTTTCACTGGTTATTCCCCCTCCCCACTTCCGATATCATAAGTGAGGGTTGTTTCCACAACGGGGACATGGGTGGGGAGAATAACAGGAAATCAGTTTTACTCCTTCAACTCACCCTCCACCCGTGTAAAATGGACTATGTTTCTCTCTCTAGCACCCCCTAGTGGACTCCAACCAGATAATAAAACATTATATGGGTTGTAGGTTTTTCGGGCTATATGGTCATGTTCTAGAAGCATTCCCTCCTGACGTTTCGCCTGCATCTATGGCAAGCATCCTCTGAGGTTGTGAGGTCCTTACTTACTTACTTGTAGTTACTTACTTACTTGGTTGATCCCTCATTGTCCAAGTAAGATTGTCCTCCAAGTTCGGTGTTTGTGTATATGTTTATATATGTGCGTTTGTGTATATATGTGGTTTTGTGCATGCGTTGTAATGCTTTTTTATGTTTTTTGGCTTTTTAAGTCTCTTCTGTTGTGTTTTTCAGTATTCTTTAGAGTGATGGTCACTTGTTGGCCTGATAGGTGTATTGTGTCCGAATTTGGTCTCAATTTGTCCAGTGGCTTTTGAGTTATGTTAATCCCACATATGAACATTTATATATATATATATATATATATATATATGGTAAAGGTTTTCCCTTGACATCAAGTCTAGTCGTGTCCGACTCTGGGAGGTGGTGCTCATCTTCATTTCTTAGCCAAAGAGCTGGCGTTGTCCGTAGACACCTCCAAGGTCATGTGACTGCATGGACTGATGTTAACTTCCTGCCGGAGCAGTACCTATTAATCTACTGACATCTTCAAACTGCTATGTTTGCAGAAGCTGGGGCTAACAGCAGGAGCTCACCCCATTCCCCAGATTCAAACTGGCAACCTTTTGGTAAGGAAGTTCAGAAGCTCAGCGGTTCAACCCACTGCACCACCAGGGGCTCTCTCTCTCTCTCTATATATATATATATACACACACATACACACACACACACACACACACATCTATATAAATAAAAATGTAATGTTCGTTTGTGGGTTAACATAACTCAAAAACCACTGGATGAATTGCTGCCAAATTTGGCCACAAGACACTAACCCAAGGAGTGACCGTAACTAAAAAAAATGATTTTGTCATTTGGGAGTTGTAGTTGCTGTGATTTATAGTTAACCTACAATCAAAGAGCATTCTGAACTCCACCAATGATGAAATTGAACTAAACGTGGGACCCAGGACTCCCATGACCAACAGAAAACACTAGAAGGGTTTGGTGGGCATTGACCTTGAGTTTGGGAGTTGTAGTTCGCCTACATCAGTGTTTCTCAACCTGGGGGTTGGGACCCTGGAGGGGTCGCGAGGGGGTGTCAGAGGGGTCGCCAAAGACCATCAGAAAGTGCAATATTTTCTGTTGGTCATGGGGGCCTCTGTGAGGGAAGTTTGGCCCAATTCTACCATTGGTGGGGTTCAGAGTGCTCTTTGATTGTAGGTGAACTATAAATCCCAGCAGCTACAACTCCCAAATGTCAAGTCTATTTTCCCCAAATTCCACCAGGGTTGACATGTGGGCATATTGAGTATTCATGCCAAGTTTGGTCCAGATCCATCATTGTTTGATTCCACAGTGCTCTCTGGATGTAAGTGAACTACAACTCCCAAAGTCAAGGTCAATGTCCACTAAACCCTTCCAGTATTTTCTGTTGGACATGGGAGCTCTGTGTGCCAAGCTTGGTTCAATTCCATTGTTACTGGGGTTCAGAATGCTCTTTGATTATAGGCGAACAATAAATCCCAGCAACTACACTCCGACATGTCAAGTCTATTTTCCCCAAATTTCACCAGTGTTGGCATGTGGGCATAGTTTGGTCCAGATCCATCATTGTTTGAGTCCACAGTGCTCTCTGGATGTAGGAGAACTACAATTCCCAAACTCAAGGTCAATGTCCACCAAACCCTTCCAGTATTTTCTGTTGTTCATGGAAGTTCTGTGTGCCAGGTTTGGTTCAATTCCATTATTGGTGGAGTTCAGAGTTCAGGTGAACTATAAATCCCAAATGTTAAAATCAATCCCCCCACCCCAACTCCACCAGTAGCAACAAAAATAATTGTATGGTCGGGGTGGGGGAGGGTCACCACAGCATGAGGAACTGTATTAAGAGGTCGCAGCATTAGGAAGGTTGAGAAACACTGGCCTACATCCAGAGAGCACTGTGGACTCAAACAATGATGGATCTGGACCAAATTTGGCACAAGCACTCAATACGCCCAAATATGAACACAGATGGAGTTTGGGGAAATAGACCTTGACATTTGGGAGTTGTAGTTACTGGGATTTCAAGTACATACACAAATATATTTAAACATACATTGACATACACACATAAGTGTGTGTGTGTGTCTCTCTCTCTCTGGATGACATTCATTTAGATTTCCTACAAACCATCTATGTCTGGTATAGGGCCAATGGGGACACTCCAAGCACAAGCCCCAGCCTGCAGACCTGGCTTTGAACCCCTCTTCAGCCATGGAAACCCAAGTCACACTGTCTCAGCCTCAGAGGAAGGCGAGGGCAAGCCCCCTCCAAACAAATCTGGCCAGGGTCCCCATCAATTGAAGGGCCACCTCCACAACACTTCCAACTCACTCAGGCCTAAGAAGAGCTCCTGGGGCTTCCTACAGAAGGCCACCCCTGTCTCCCATCCTGGGCCCGGCTCCTTTAAATCTTGACATGCGCAGTTACAACGCTCTGCCTTCTCCCCCTTTCCCGCCATGCATCGCTCTCCCAGCCACTGACTCCTCTTGGTTAGAATCTAGGGCTCGATGAGGATGGTAATCAAACGAAACTTCAGGTTCCTAATCGCACTTGGTAGCATCCTCTCTGATGGAAATTGCATAGAAACCTTTTTTAAAAATTAAAATCCTAGACCTGGAAAGCCATTGCGTCTTACACCCCGCCCCCCACTCCTTCTTAATGCAGGATCTCATCTAAAGCAGTGTGTCCTAACTTAGCTCCTCTTGGTTTTTTGGACTTCAGCTCCCAGAATTCCTGGCTGTTGGCCAAGCTGGCTGGGGCTTCTGGGAGTTGGAGTCCAAGGCAAGGTTTGGGGAACACTGCATAGTATCCAGGCAGAATGCTTCCCATCCTCTTTGGGGAGATTTTCAAGAGAGCTGTAGAAATCCCTTTTCTTCATTGTTTTTTAAATAAAAATGCTGGATCAGAATTACTTTTTCCCCTGGTACAATATATACTTATATACACACACATATGCACATACATGAATATATATGTACACACATATACACATGTATGTACAAGCACACACACACACATGCACATGTATATACATGTATGCACACATATATGCACAATCATACATACACACACATATGTATATATATATATATACAATAATAATAATATTTATTTATTTGATCAGTCATATGACCATTTCAAAATAGAACACGAGTAAAAAACAAGGCAACAAGGTGAAGACCGCAGCCGACCTTCTATTTATAGTCAGAATCTTATTTTCCTGGTTCTTCTTTCAGGAAATCTGCTCTTTTCTTAATAGCATATATAAAGGGCCCCCGGTGGCACAGTGGGTTAAAGCGCTGAGTTGCTGAGCTTGTTGACCAAAAGGTTGCAGGTTCGATTCTGGGGAACGGCGTGAACTTCCGCTGTCAGCCCCAGCTTCTGCCAACCTAGCAGTTCGAAAACATGCAAATGTGAGTAGATCAATAGGTACCGCTCCGGCGGGAAGGTAACGGCGTTCCATGCAGTCACAATGCTGGCTCTTCGGCTTAGAAATGGAGATGAGCACCACACCCCAGAGTCAGACATGACTGGACTTAATGCCAGGGGACAACTGTTACCTTTTATATACATGTACAGAAATATTACTATATACATACACGCATACATATACATGTACACACATATAAAACATACACATATGTATGTGCACACATATACACACATATATAATCACACACATATGCACATGTATATACATGTACAGTCATATATATATATATATATATATATATATATATATATATGCACACACATAAATACATGTACAAACATATTTTATATATACATATGCACATGTATAGGAGCCCCCAGTGGCGCATTAGGTTAAAGCTCTGAGCTGCTGAGCTTGTTTACCGAAAGGTTGCAGGTTCGATTCCGGGGAGCGGCATGAGCCTCCACTGTCAGCCCCAGCTTCTGCCAACCTAGCAGTTTGAAAACATGTCGTTACCTTCCTCAGGCGGGAAGGTAACGACGTTCCATGCAGTCATGCCAGCCACATGACCTTGGAGATGTCTATGGACAACACCGGCACTTCAGCTTAGAAATGGAGATGAGCACCACACCTCAGAGTTGGCCACAACTGGACTTATTGTCAGGGGAAAACGTTTACCTTTACCTATACACATATATGTCATGTACACACATACACATGCACACACATATATATAAACACATGTACACACATGTATGTACATGTGTATATATGTACACGTGTATGTACATGTACAGTCATACATATATATATATATACACACACATATGCATGTACATATTTGTATTCATACATGTATATACACTTACACCCATAAACATATACACATGTGTACATACATATACACACATACGCACATGTATATACATGTATGCATATGTCTATACACATGCAGTCATTCATATCCATATATATACTGGTACATGTATCTGAAAAAATGCACACAAAATAAGTATAGGCTCTGCAAGAAGTTCTGATTTAGCTTTCTATATAAAACACACACTTCATAGGGTTTTTAGATACTTCAATGTCTTGTGCCATTTCTAGGATTGCTGGGTATTAGTATTTTGCAATACAAATGTTAATAGACTGCAAAGGAAAAGTAGGGGTTACAATGCCCTTTAGATATTGGATTGCAATCCCCAGCAGCCCTATCCAGTGCAGACCATGGGAAGGGATGCTGGGAGCTGCAATCCAGCAGTTATCTAGAGGTAAGTTTTGTGTGTGTGTGTCAGGAGTGACCTGAGAAACTGCAAGTCGCTTCTGGTGTGAGAGAATTGGCCATCTGCAAGGGCGTTGCCCAGGGGACGCCCGGATGGTTTGATTTTTTTTTATCATCCTTGTGGGAGGCTTCTCTTATGTCCCCGCATGAGGGGCTGGAGCTGATAGAGAGAGCTCATCCACCTCTCCCTGGATTCGAACCTGCAACCTGTCGATCTTCAGTCCTGCCAGCACAGGGGTTTAACCCACTGTGCCACCGGGGGCTCCTTATCTGAAGGTAAGTGAGTGGGCTACTGAATCCATTCCAGGGTTTGCATAGTTGAAAAAGAACTGTCCAAGGTGCTGAACATGTTTTGGGGAAAGGGTTTGGTGTTTTTGGATACCTCCTTTAAAGTCTGAAACCTGGAGTAGAGCCATGAACTTCCCCTGGTAAGAGAGCCAGCATCTTCCAGTGCTTGGAGGACCACATGACTCCCACACTGTCTTCAAACCTCATGCTACATTCCCCTATAGGACCCATAGGGCTCAATTTGGGCTTTCTTTTGCATAGATATGACTAGGATTTGGTTTTGGAATGGATTTTGGACTATGGCTCTGAGGCCCTGATGGTACTTAATGACAAGTTCTCTTAGAGTCATCTCATTCATAGGATTGGCATATGTCAAAGCCAACATGGGATCAAATTGTGCATGGCACAATGGAATTAAACTGGATTGCCCTTGTGATCTCTTCCAACTCTAGGATTCTATCTATATAAATAAAAATGTAATGTTCGTTTGTGGGATTAACATAACTCAAAAACCACTGGACGAATTGCTGCCAAATTTGGCCACAAGACACCTACTAACCCAAGGAGTGACCACCACTCAAAAATTGATTTTGTCATTTGGGAGTTGTAGTTCCTGGGATTTATACTTCACCTACAATCAAAAAGCATTCTGAACTCTACCAGTGATGGAACTGAATCAAACTTGGCACACAGAACTCCCATGACCTACAGAAAACACTAGAAGGTTTTGGTGGGCATTGACCTTGAGTTTGGGAGTTGTAGTTCACCTACATCCAGAGAGCACTGTGGACTCAAACAATGATGGATCTGGACCAAACTTGGCACGAATATTTCATATGCCCAAATATGAAGACAGGTGGAGTTTGGGGAAATAGACCTTGACATTTGGGAGTTGTAGTTACTGGGATTTATAGTTCACCTACAATCAAAGAGCATTCTGAACCCCAGGAATGACAGAAATGGGCAAACTTCCCACACAGAACCCCCATGACCAACAGAAAATACTTAAGGCCATCCAGTCCAACTCCCTTCACTAGGGCAAGAAAACATAATCAAAGCCCTCCTGACGAAGAGACATCCAGACATAGATATAGATAGATAGATAGATATGATTCACACACACACACAGAGATATAGTATCATAGATTTGAAAGGGACCCCTAAACAAGGACAATTATATGTTGCATGTTCCAGAGTACGCAAACCAGACAATCTCCACATCAACACTGACAAAGAAACAACAAGAAAGACTGTTTACGCACAAGCATGAAGAAAACAGATGCCTAAAATTTTAGATTTTTCACACACATATTAGAAACCAACACTTTCTCATTACTTCATTTTCCAGATCACCAGACTGGGCCACAGCCATTTTGGAAGGAGTGGGGCCAACCGAGGTGGCTTTGTGACCCCCGGAAAATGGCCCAGCGACCCCCTGGGGGGTCACGACCCCCAGGTTGAGAACTGCTGCTCTAAAGGCTCTGACTCAAATTCATTGTGTGTCTTTCTCCCATTCTTCCTAATTGATTATGTGGGAATAATGGAGAATTTCTCTGGGTGCGGGTGAAGCAAGGGCAAACTGAGTTCGCATTATGGGAAATCTCCAAGGAATTTCATAGAAAGGCTACTTTTTAGGGCAATTAGAAATAACCATGTGGCTCACTATGTTTTCCTATTCATAATTTGGGACCCCATTTATTGATAGCATATTGATCAACATTTCTGAAATGATTATCATGTTGGTTGGATAAATTTTGCAGGCAGGCTCTCATCAGTACATAGCATCGGGATTTTTTTTTGTTCTTCTTTCTTGGCTAGTGGCATTATTGCCGTGTGGGCATCACATTTGGAAGTGGACATAAGGTTTTGGCCAAATGGGACTTGATGTTTTTCCATAGAACAGGAATGGTAAAAGTGTTGTTGCATTGTTTGGGCTGGCCCAAAGATCATCATAGGATTCAAGGATAACAGTTATGTAATGGCTCAATTTCCATATTTATACATATCATCTGGAAGGATTATGCATTGATGTGCATGGTACAAAAAGCATGATTTTAGTCAGGCTGAATTATTATTTATTTTGAATAGAGCACACTTATGAAAACAAAAGCTTACAATTTTAGATTTTTCACACGCATTACACATAGTGTGACAGAAGCAAATATCTGACAATTAATAATCAACTTCAAGACCGTGAGGCAAACAACTATTGTATATGTCTGGCTGGCTTTGTTAAGAGCAAATCTTGGAGATATAATATTTATTGTTATCATCAAAAACTGGTTTTAGGGCTCAAATTCAGATTATGTCCAATCAGCAACCTCAGATCTTTTTGAAGCCCTCATAGTGGTCTATTTTTGGTTTCCACAGCAGCAAAACATTATGGTTTTCAGCATTCAGCCTTGTTTCTTCATGAGATGCACTTCACAAAGCCTCATTAAGTAAATGAACAGTTTGTGCCAATTTATCCTTGGTCTAATTAATAAACAGTGCATTCCACGCACACTTTGTCATCGTCTTCTCACTTCAGAATTATTGGGTTAAATCGAAATCCGTATTCAAGGTCGAAGGACTCTGTCCCATATACTCTTTCACACCCTGATTTTTAATTGACGTCAGAGCCTCTGCTGGCAAACATGATGCACAATTTACCTTCCACAAAGATGGTGCCTTTAACATAAGCAACAACAAAAAAGAGATGCTTCCATGTACAGAAGTTGGCATTCCAGATGTTGTTCATCTTACTGTTACTATCAGTCCTAACTACCATAGCCAGTGGTGAAGGTTGATGGGATCTGTAGTCTGAAAATATAATGGGCTCTTGGTAACTGCTGGATTTTGGCTCCAGGAACTGCCCCCCCCCCCTCACCCCACATACACCAAAATCTGTGGATGTTCAAGTTCCATTTTAAAAAAATACTGTTCAAATCCCATTATATACAATGACTCAGTAAAATGTTGCCTCTTATATAAAACAACAAGATCAAGGTTGGCTTTGGGGATTTATTTCTGAATATTTTCAAGCCATGGATACCGTGTGCCAACTTAAAGCACAGTGAATACTTACTAGGACTACTGTTGCTGGACTAAAGGAACAGGGTGCACTGGTGCCATCTCTCTGTGTCACTCATTGGAACAACAGGGACAGCTTGGGAAGGAATCTATCGCATCACTAAAACAGTCTGTCAAATTGATGAGACTCAGAAGGACTTCTTCAGAAAACACAATGGCATAATAACTGTTAATGGAAGGGCGATGATCTCAGGACACACAAGGCACTGAAACACATCTTCTTGTCTAAAAGCTAGTTTATTTAACACAAAACATATTTACACTAGAACTAAGCAGAACGAGAAACAAAATCGTCTACATGGCTCGGCTTTTCGTTGCAATCTAGAATACGGCGCACTCCCACATTCCTCAGTGACATGATGACGTACAACGCTCTCGACGCAAGACAGCATACAACACTTTCCGCACTGAGATTCACGATACAGTTAACCCTTTCCACACAAGAATTACAATCTCCGGAACATTGCATTACAAAGCATTACATTTCTAAGCACACAATTACTAACTTTGAAAATTACAATACACTTAATCAAAACACACACATATATCTGATAATAACATGGAACATGGCCATCAGCCCGGAAATCTCACAGCAACCCAGTGATTCCAGCCATAAAAGCCTTCAGCAACACAAAGTTTTAGTCCTTCGGAAAGCCTGGACTATAACCATAATGGGCTTTATGGGTCATCACCAGCACTTTGAATTTTGCCCCGAAACAGGCTAATATCGAGTGGAGTGTTGGGGTTCAGCCTGTGTGTGAACCTGAACCTGATTCTCTGATTGTATTTCCTGATGCTAATGAAGATGTTGATTCTGAGGGCAATGTAGAAGATGACAGTTTGTGTAGTGAAACTCCTGCAGCCTTGGAAAGTGAAAGTCCAAATTCCCTTGAGAATATTTCAGAGTCAAGCGATGAACTTTCACTCTCTTTTCCTCCCAGTCTTAGCTCTCCAGAGAATCTGACACCTGGTCTCTCTAATGAGGATAGGAGAGGGCAGATTTGGCAGAACAGGGGAGAATCTCAAAGTTTACGAAGGTCAGCTAGACTGAGAGAAATGCAAACAAAGCCTGCAGGCGTATCACGTAATAGATTTCTCGGCCTTAAGTACCTCTCGCCTGGATGCATCTTCAGACCAGGCATCGTTCCAGATTCAAGCATCATCCTTGGTAGGTCTCCTGATTCCAGTGGCCTTATTCCTAAGAGGCTTCCTAGTTGCTTCAAGTACGGTTAGTGGATTGGTAAAAGGTTCCAGGATTTAGCAGTGTTACTGTGGGTTTTTGATCTTGTTCGTGGACATTTCTTGTTGCTGATTTTTACTGTGGATTTTTGCCTTGCATATTTCCTCTATTTTTGTACTCATCTTTCTTCAATAAAAAAGGATTGTTTTTCCTGAAGTCAAGTGTGGTGGATTGTTGTCTGAGGGTCCAGTTTCCTGCTCTGGGTTGCAACATGGAGCTATTTATTTATTTATTTATTTACGGCATTTATATTTATATTATATCATTAGCATAGTACAATATCACTATTATATATTACTATATTGCACTATACCATTATATTGTAATATTATTTGTAATATTACATGTAATGTAAATATATAATTATAATATTGCATTATTATTACTAGTATTATATTGTATTACATTATATGTATATACAATATATTATATTATATTATTAGTAAAGACAAGATGGAACTGTCTTCTACTCCCCTCTGTCTTCATTCTGGCCAGAGCAGCAGTTGGTGCCAGAGGAGGAATTGTTTGATCCCTGTGCGCAGCCCCAGTTAACAATGTGGCTATAGTTTTTTAGGCCACCACTCTACTAATTCCTGCAAAACAAACAATCCCATAAATAAAGCCATACTTTAGAGCAGTGGTTCTCAACCTGTGGGTATCCAGACGTTTTGGCCTCCAACAGCTAGTAAACTGGCTGGAATTTCTGGGAGTTGTAGGCCAAAACACCTGGGAAGGTCTTTTTTTTAAACCATGGAAAGTGAATGAATGTTGCTTTTTAATTCAGAAAAGGTCCTGCCTAGACATGAGTTGACCCACAGGAGCAAAATGTGTTTGGAGTGCCTTTTATGTGCTCCAGGGGGTATTTTTTGACACTAGGAGTGAGGAGGGGGGCTCCAAATATAGTGGAAATACCCTCCACAAAAATATGTTTCCAAGCAAAATCCCTTCCTGGACATTCCTTGAAGGTCCCTTGAAATCACAAAAATAGCCCACGGCCTGCACTTTGCCCAGCTCTGAACCACAGGAATATTTAGCCGGCTTCCTATAAAATATCATTCTGTGTGGTGTCAATTGTTTAGCACTTCACCCTAAAGTGAGAAGTTGTGATGGGAAGGGAAAGAAAGAGAGAGAGGCTGGCAAAGTTGTATTCTAGGCTCTTTTCCCGATGAAAGTAAAGCTAGAATGCCAAAGCCGTGGGAGGAGGCCTTGTGAGTGGGTGTGCTAGGAGTGGTTTTGGAAAGAGCATATATGGGAGAAGGAGGAAGAGAGACAGGCAGCCTGTGGATCCCACTCCCTCCCTCTCTCTCTCTCTTTGGCGTATCAATCAAGCTCTGAAGCTGAAGAAGAACCAGATTCCCAATCTCACACAGACACAGAGACCATCTGCTGGGTTACAGAAGGAGGGCTGAGAGCCAGGACATTGGGTTCCATCCCCAAATCTGGATGGATGGGAGAGCAGTTGAGTTGCGAGTTTAGAAAAGGGTTGTGATCCAGATCAAAGCTGCCTAAACAGTTACTTTGGATCCAGGACTTTGTGCTCAGTGCTTCTCTCTCCCCATCGCTCTCGGAAAGGGAACAAACGGAAAAAAGAAAGATGATGCTGCAGGGTTCAAAGGCACCGTCCATGGACCGAATGGAGGGGTGAGGAAACTTCAGCACCAAGGACAGGGTCACAGGTAAGAGTCTTTTTTTGTTGTTGTTGTGTCAGGAGCAACTTGAGAAACTGCAAGTCGCTTCTGGTGTGAGAGAATTGGCTGTCTGCAAGGACGTTGCCCAGGGGATGCCCGGATGAATTGATGTTTTTATCATCCTTGTGGGAGGCTTCTCTCATGTCCCCGCATAAGGAGCTGGAGCTGATAGAGGGAGCTCATCCACCTCTCCCCATATTCGAACCTGCAACCTGTCGGTCTTCAGTCCTGCCGGCACAGGGGTTTAACCCACTGCGCCACCGGGGGCTCCTAAGATTCTATTTAAAATACAGGAAAAATACTAACTAAGGAGGAAGAGAGCACAACTTATAATTCTCAAGAATTCTGTAATTGAAATCTATAGCTGGAAACAATACTGAGGTGGCTAAAGAGTCCAGACAGAAACCGTGACCCTTTTGAGCCAAACATGAAATGCTTTCTGATTAGCACTTGGGTCACTGTTTTTCACCTTATCTACTTCACAAGATTGTTGTGCATAAATGAAATACGGATATATTAGAGCTATGAAACACACCTGGAACAGCCACAATAAAGCAAAAAATGAAGTATTTTAAACACTGCTAATATTGTGTTGTCAAAGGGTTTCATGGCTGGAATCACTGGGTTGCTGTGAGTTTTCTGGGCTGTATGGCCATGTTCTAGAAGCATTCTCTCCTGACATTTTGCCCATATCTGTGGCAGGCATCCTTAGAGGTTGTGAGGTCTGTTGGAAACTAGGTGAGTGGGGTTGATATATCTGTGAAATGTCCGTGGTGGAAGAAAAAACTCTAGTCAGCTTGAGGCAAGTGTGAATGTTGCAACTGGGCACCTTGATTAGCACTGAATGGCCTTCCAGCTTCAAAGCCAGGCTGCTTTCTGTCTGGGGTAATCCTTTATTGGGAGGTGTTCACTGGTCCTGATTGTTTCAGGCCAGGATTCCCCCTAGCAGGAAGCAGCCAGGCTTTGAAGCTGCAAGGCAATTCACTGCAAATCAAAGTGGACAATTGCAACATTCACACTTGCCTCAAGCCAACTAGAGTTCTTTCTCCTACCATGGAGAAAGAACTTATTGTGTCCAGCAGTCTTTAGATTTCTGCACTCAATGTGAGCAGCAATTATCCCAAAGGCCTCCCAGAATGTAATACAGTAGATAGGGCCATAAAAAGGTAAAGGTTTCTCTTGACATTAAGTCTAGTCGGGTTGGACTCTGGGGGTTAGTGCTCATCTCCATTTCTAAGCTGAAGAACCGGCATTGTCCATAGACACCTCCTAGGTCATGTGGCTGGCATGACTGAATGGAGCGCCGTTACCTTCCCGCCAAAGCAGTACCTATTGATCTACTCACATTTGTATATTTTCAAACTGCTAGGTTGGCAGAAGCTGGGGCCAAGAATGGGGGCTCATTCTGTTCCATGGATTCGAACTGCCGACCTTCTGGTCAGCAAGTAGTGTAGCTTAGCAGTTTAATCTGCTGTGCCACCGTGGATTAAATCGTTAAGTTTAACTATAGTGCCATAGTTAGGATTTAATTATTTACAATTAATGCTGTTTTTGAAGATTTCCTTAATCACAGATTTAATATGGCATTTCTCTAGGAATCTCTAAGCCTTCCAGAACCACTTTGTGGCCAGCCTCTGCCAACAGTTTATTTTCTGGGGGACCTAGATATATCCAGAAAGAACACTTTTCTAGGCATTGGAAGATCCTCCCACACCATTCTCTCACCGATGTCCCACAGAAGTTGAGACTGGAGAATCTAGCAGTTTTTTTTTTATCCAGCATTTCCCCTCTATCTCTAGTTAATGTGGAGGTCTGACAACAATGTCATGATTAAAGGTGAAATTTCTTTATTATAGGGCTGGAACAGTCTTTAGTTAGGTACCAATGTTACATAGAAAATTCCTTTTTTTCCAAATTCAGTGCAGGTCTCTGATTCCGATTTTTAATTGGCATATGTTAATCTAATCTGGGGCCAGTTACAGGGGCACCCGACCCCCCTGTTTAAGGGGCTCCACTGGCTGCCGTTTATTTTCCGGGCCCAATTCAAGGTACAGGTTATCACCTATAAAGCCCTAAACGGTTTGGGACCCGCCTACCTTCATGACCGTATCTCTCTCCATGAACCAACCTGGGCCCTTCGATCTTTGGGGAGGTCCTCCTTTCACCTCTGCCAGTTTCACAAGCTCGCCTTGTGGGCACAAGGGAGAGAGCCTTCTCCTCTGTGGCCCCCCGACTCTGGAACTCATTACTTGGAGAGATCAGGAAAGTCCTTTCACTAGAAACCTTTAAAAAGAACCTTAAAACCTGGCTCTTCTGCTGTGCCTTTGGTGAGTAGGTGCACAGCATGACACTACTGCTCCCCTCAAAGCTTCTGTCACTGGAGAATCCCCCCCCCCCCCCCCCCCCTGCCAAATGGGAAAGTTTGATTCCACAACCCTGTGTTTTTTATGAGCTTCCTCTTGTAAATAACTTGCTCCTCTTCTTATCTCATTCGAGTTTTTTAACATTTTATCCTGCACATGTGGCCCGCCCACTGTCACTGTGATTGTGTTTATTGTAATGTTATATTGTTATAGTATTCAGATTTTTTAAATGTGATTATGATGGTGTTGCTTCTTGCTTATGTTTTTGGTTTTATTTTGCTGTAATATGTTCTATGGGCTTGGCCTCATGTAAGCCACCCCGAGTCCCCGTTGGGGAGATGGTGGTGGGGTATAAATAAAGATTATTATTATTATTATTATTATTCTATTGTTTTAACTGTTTTAATATTTTTTAATATTTTTAATGTACTGTTGATTGTTTTATGATGATGACACCATATGGTGCTTTTGTGAGGCTGCCCTGAGTCCCCCCTCGGAGGTGAGAAGGCAGGGTATAAATATAAGAAATAAAATAAATAAATACTTTCCTCCCTCTAAGTGCAAACAAAAAAGCAGTAAGTACACTATTTCTTCAATTGCAAGATATTATCATTCTAAAGCTCATCCTAATTTCAATACCACCATCACCGATTCTAAACGTATCCATTTTAGAAATGTTTGTATATGAAAAAGTGCTCATTAGAATGGAAGAAATACAATAGTGTTAACAAACTATCCAATGTGCCAGCATTACAACCCTACAAGCAGAGGCGGCCCTAGGTAAGCAAACAGTATTTTGCCCCCCCCCCCCCCCCCCCCAAACCAATCACTGATATATATTTTCTGTTTGTCGTGGGAGTTCTGTGTGCCATATTTGGTTCAATTCCATCATTGGTGGAGTGCTCTTTGATTGTAGGCGAACTATACATCCCAGTAACTACAACTCACATATGTCAAGATCTATTTTCCCCCAAGAGCGCCCCTGGGCAAAATCAAGTATACTGTGAATGCTTACTTTGCATAATGGGTTGAGCCGCCCCTGCCTACAAGTAACAACAACAGGAACTCTAACTAGAATGAATTGCCTTTGAAACTAACTTCCTAAACTCTGGACTGTATGTATGGGAATGGGCAATTGTACAAGGAGCATGGGACAATGTTTTCCTCTACAGGTGACATATTACTAAGTCACAACACACTAGAAGTCATATCCAGTGCTTAAACGACATTGAAGGGAGGCTTCAGATATGACATTCAGGGGTTCCACAGAGCCCAGTTCTAGTGCATCATCATCATCATCATCATCATCATCATCATCATCTTTTATTTTATTCAAAGTAGTGCATACTAAGGATGCCATCTATATAAATAAAAATGTAATGTTCCTTTGTGCGATTAACATAACTCAAAAACCATTGGACGAATTGACCCCAAATTTGGACACAATACACCTATCAGGCCAACAAGTGACCATCACTCATAAAAACACGGAAAAACACAGAAAGAGACTTAAAAAGCCAAAAAAATAGAAAATACATTACAACGCATGCGCAAAACTACATATATACACATATACACAAACATACACACACACAACATGTATACACAGACTGGGCCACAGCAACGCGTGGCAGGGGATGTCTAGTTTAAAATAAAACCTCAGATTCAATCTGTGTTTTAGAGACACAAAATTTGAGAGCAACTTCATATCTCTTGAACCACAAGTAATCTGTGTCGAGCAGTCCTAAATAGGTGCTGTTACTTGATTTAAATACATCTATCCATTTTTGTATTAAAGGGTACATCATGCAAACACATTTTCAACAGGATGAAAGGGGTTGGGGGAAGGAAGGTCCTAAAATAAGTCAGAAGGAATTATTTTTAAAAACGTAACATTTCAAAAGGCAAGTTCTCCACTGTCATATTTTAAAATACAGACTTACATAACTTGTAATTTTAGATCCCGAGAAACCTATACTGTTGCTAAAGAACATAAGAAGTGTTGTATGAGTCAGAGAAGTAGAAAGCTTTCAATGACTAAGGCTCATCAATAGTAAACAATGGCAAAGCACTCGTGTAATTATATGGCTGTGTTCACGGTCACAGAGAACAGACAGAGAAAGTGTCATTTAGCCTTGAGACTTGGACACAAACCAGCTAAAGGAGCAAACCCCTATGTCTGGCCAATGATTTTCTTGGCAGGATTAATTTGCACCCAACAGCAAACTGGTGTCCCGCAGGGTGCCATTCTTTCTCCTCTGTTATTTAACATCTACATGCGACCATTTGCTCGACTGGTGCGAAGCTTTGGGCTTGAATGCCACCAGTACGCTGACGACACTCAGCTCATTCTGAGGATGGAGAGCCGGCCGGACTCCGTACCCGAAAATTTCCATCAGTGCCTTGAGGACGTTACTGGATGGTTGCATGCCAGTAGGTTGAGGGTGAATCCAGCAAAGACGGAGATCCTTTGGCTGGGCCGTCCCGGTGGGAGGGAGATCCAGCTGCCTACCCTGGATGGCGAGACACTATGTCCGTCATCTTCTGTAAAAAGTCTTGGTGTCTTATTGGACTCACTGCTCACAATGGAGGCCCAGGTCTCTGCTGTGAGCAGATCTGCGTTTT